AGACTCTTGATACTGTTTCATCTTATGTCAATAGAAATGATGATAAGGATTGTTTCAACCTGAAATGTCTGGTGAACCACAACTTTTCACACAAGGTGAACTTAATGATTTGGTGAGAGATTTGGGCCTTCCAAAGGATTCTTCATTGATTTTGAGGTCCAGACTTCAGGCTAAGAACTTACTTTCTCCAGGGACATTTTACTGGTACAGAAATCATGAGAAAGAGTTTTATCATACTTTTCACAAGAAGGTTCACTGGTTTATTGCAACAATATTGCTGAATTAATACCAATACTAGGAGCTGTAGTCTATGAACCAAGTGAGTGGCAATTGTTCATTGATTCCTCCAAAAGAAGACTAAAAGTGTTCTCCTTCACAATGGTAACAAATATGTATCTATCTGTTCATATTGCTCATTCAGTTTATTTGAAGAAAACATACAAAAAATCTCAAACTTCTTCTTAATAAGGTAAAATACAAATAACATGGTTAGCTACTTTGTGGAAACAAAAGTCATTTTATGTTGTTGGATCAACAATCCCATTATACAAAGTTTCCATGTTTTTTGAGTGAATGGGACAACAGAGCATGAAATCAGCACTGGATAAAGAAGCAATGGCCACATAGAGTCAGCCTGATACCAGGATAGAAAAACATTGAACATGAAAGTTTGGTTAACACAAAGAAAGTCCTATAGCCTCCACTTCACATAAAACTGGGCTTGATGAAGCAGTTTGTAAAGGCCTTGGACAAAGATCGCGACTGTTTCAAGTATCTACGTTGGCAATCCTTAGCTCTTTCAGAAGTGAAACCTAAAGAAGGGATTTTTGATCAGGAAATTGACTTAAAATGAACAGTTCGAAAGGACAATGAGGAAAGTTGAAAAAAGAAGCATGGATTGCATTTAAAGATGTTATTGACAATTTTTTAGGAAACAACAAGGGCACAAGTTACGAAAATATTGTCAATAACATGCTCAATAAATTCAAAAGGTTGGGTTGTAATATGAGCTTGAAAGTTCATTTCTTACACTCACATATTGACCCTGAAACTCTCGGTGCCATCTGTGAAGAACAAGGGGAAAGGTTTCATCAAGACATCAGGAAAATGGTGAGGAGGTATCAGGGGAAGGTGGAAGATTGCTGATGACAGCTGGTCATTGAAACGAGATGCTCCAGACGCAATACATAAAAGAAAGACCACAACATGTAGTTTTGAGACTATAAGACGTAGATTTCACCAAAAAAATCAGGATGAATGAGGATGCATATTCAATTGACATCAATGCTTCCCTTTTTTTTAGTTTGTTTGCATTTTTCTTAACATAATAGTAAGAAATGTTCATTGTGGTAAACGAAATACTAATTTGATCCAAGTAAGAATTTTTTTTTTCCTCTCGGTTTGTAAAAAAAATCTTTACATGATAGAAAAAAATTAATATTTTTTTGAAATCTGTGTATCTGAATTATGGAAAACCTGTTATTAAAACCAAAACAACTTTTATGAAGTTTAAATTTGCAGGCCTATGTAATTAGTTTGTTGATATTTCCTCTATTTTGAGATTTCTCATTGGGTACAATTGATGTTTATGCCTTGTAGGGTACCTCCCAATATCTCTTACTAGAGCTTTTAATCACTGATAATTTTGATTATTTTTATTTTTGACATTAGTTCCACTAACTTTGATGAATACCTTTTATGAAATCAAACTTCAAGTCTAGCTGGCACAATTTTTTTGTAAATTGGCCAACTTGTTTTAATTGACTTGAAAGTAGGTGGGAATTGTCTCAAGGCTAGTGGCATGTAAATCGATTTGGCAGACACACAAGGAAGCTAGCTAAACTGTGTGCAGAGGTATGATATTGCCTCAGAATTATAGAAAAGCTGGTCATAGTTAAGGAACATCACCTGTTTTGTTTCTATTTGTAAGTAAAGTGTTTTCTTTAGAGCATTTAAAACTCATTTTGTCAAAGTCTACAGAAATTCCCCTAGGAATGCCTTGTCAATATGGTACTACTTACCACAGAATGTCAAACACTTAAAGAGTACATTTCTATTTTCAATAAACCACAAAATTAATGACTGATATGTGATCTAAAAAAGCTAAGGCAATTTATTTCAATAAAGATGTTTAAATTAAGTGAGATAACACTATTAATGTTTCAAAACAGACTAAATTATATCACCTGGATAACCCGAAGATTTATATCAGAAGGAGGAGCTGGGTAAGCACTAACACAGTGTAGAAAACCAAGTTTAATGTTGAACTGTTTTAACAAATAATATACTTTCTGCACTGTGTCTATGGATTGCATGCCTGTGGATACAATTAAAGGTTTTCCAAATCTTGCAACATCCTGTATCAAAGAATAGTTATTTGCATCACCAGAACCTATTTTAAAGAATGGAACACCTAACTGGTTCAAGAACCTCAATGAAACCTGAAAAATATAATAATAATAATAAATGTGAAAATATATCAAATTTAAAAACACAAGAATTTGTTAATTAAAAAATGTTATTTACTAAATACACATACAAACAAGTAGCATGGAATACAACATAATATTCATTCTTCAGATATATAAAAGATTTTACTATCAGCTTCTTTTGGAAGTAAATGAAAAATAAAACTGCAATTTTATCAGTTATAATCAACTACCCAAATGATACAAGAAATATGAATCACATGCAATGCCAGCCTTAGCTCCTGCAGATCTGTAGGCAAGATAAAAAGTGCAGGCCCCTTACAGTATTTGGCAATAAAAAGATATGCTGGAAACTCTTAAAACAGAATGATATGGCATGTTCATTAATACGTCAAATGTACAGGTTTTGCAGCTTCATCTTTAAGAATTACTCATACCAATAACTATGCAAGTCTCACCTAGTGAGTGACCCTAAGTAGCTGACTTGCTTGCTTTGCCTTAAGGCTGGCTTTGATCATATGAAATGCCTTATCTTTAAAACCTTATCCACTGTAGTCACTATATCAAAAACAGCATCCTGAACTGTTATATTTAAAATGCACTGTTTTCTCTACAGTATGAATCCTTCTGTTGTGAATTATTGGCTTTACTGATCTAAGCTCAAGCAATAATACCAGCATTTTACAAAAGTTGTGGACATGTTATTTTGGGCATGAGTTGAATATATAAACAGCTACGTAATCCTTAAAAATATGTCCATAATCTATGCAATATTATTTTCAACTTCTTTGAAATAAACAAATTTAATCAAAAAAGGTACACAATGCAAAATTATAACAATTAATGTAGGAATAGATGATAGGACACTTACTTATGTATACAATCATAAAAAATATTTTATTTATCTTTCATAAAGTTCCATCAAAAAATGTTTATAACATTTCATACATATCAATGTCTAGAAGAGCCTTCAACAGTCTTTGTAAATGTATCAACAGAAAATAAAGTTAGCATGAAATTTGTTGAAACAAACTAATAATATTTATGGAATTGAATGCCACTGGAACAAGTTACCTGAGCATTAGAAAATACAAATATCAGCAAATTTACAAAGCACTTTATGGTAGGAAATACATTAACATACAAAACTTTAAATGAAATTATGCTATGTGATTCATAATGATATAAAGTTATATCTTGTATATGTTATTTACATTATATCATGCATTAAAATACTTGGTCATTTCAATGCACACACCTAATAGGAAAATAAAAACAAATGTGCGATATGAACAGTCACTGTTGGAATAATTTTGACAAAATTCATCACTAATAATAATTATGAAACACAGGATGACCTAAATCTATCTATTCATTTCATCTACAATTTTACAAAATATTTTAGAAAAGTTAAGAAAAATTGAAACTAAAACAAGATTTGTTCCTTTACAAACATTAAAATGAGAAGTTCACATAGCTCTTATTTTTATTAACATTCTTATTTATTGTATGCTTTGCCTTAAAATGTAAGAAAAGGATACACTTTTTTGGAATGTACTAAAACTGTTATTACTGAATTTTATGTTTTGTAATAAAATGAAACTGCTTTTTCAAAACTGAAACTCACTAACAGACTACCAGACTCTTATTATAAATTTCTATTTTGATCTTGACCCTAAAAGCAATGTTACTGACTGACATGTTCTGCATCCACGCATCTCAGTAACTTTTTCATGAATTAGAACTACAACAAATTGTGTGTATGTGTAATTATACACACACACATATATGATTTTGAATAACATGCTCAGATGCCTTTGAAGTGGCACACAAATCAGCTGTAGTAGTTACAGCCACCAAGGTAGAAGCCATGTTGAATTGCACATATATGATGAATGGAGTTGATAGGAAAAAAAAAAGAAGTCTCAAAACTGAAAAAATTTCAAAAAAATATTACAGCTGATAAAATAAAATACACAGCCAAAAATTTAAACTATAAACATTGGCAATTAACCAAGAAAATCAGTCTGAAAACACAACTGAACTGTAAGACTGCCAACTGAGAAGTGATTAAGGGCTGCAACATTAGAGAGGGCACTAGTTATAATAGTTAGTATGCAGATGTCTCAAGTTAACATATGTGAGAGTAAGTGGAAGCATCAAGGATAGTGGCGAGCAAAAATGTGTACTGATAACGGACAGTTAAGTCGATAAAAGCATTTTGCGAGAGGATGTAAGATATCGTATTGTAAGAGGTCTAAAATATTTGTATCAAATATTAAATTCATCAAGTAGTACAGTATTCCTCAAACCATGGTGCATGCAAGCAATAAAAAAAGCTAGTGGCAATTACTACTAGCCAGTTGTCTTTCCTCTAATTAGCAGTTTAAAAAGAAAGAAAAACTAAAAAAGTTTCTGGCATGTTGCCAACCAGTTGCTTTCCCTCTAGTCAGCAGTTGAAAGTTCAAGATTGGTACAGTAGCAGCTAATTTTACCAGTTTTGTCATAACATAGACAAGTGGACAAGTCTGGTGCCAATGAGGGTTGAACCTGAGACTCTCAAATCACTAAAGACGAACTAACTTGAAATGAAAAACTTTTAAGGCTAAGATTGGGCAGGGCACATAGAGCTCATTATGTAGCTTTGTGCTTAAGAACAAGCAAGCATAATAGCAATATTTTGAATACTTCAGTAGTTGGAATAATCAAAATTAGAATAATGATTATTTTCATGACAATGGATATAATCATAATTTTGAATAGTAAATTGTTGAAATAAACAAAGGCACTAATAATTGGAAACTAATTTTGATTAGTCAATTATTTTAGTAATAGTTGATTTAATCATAGTATCTATACAAATGTAATAGATTCTTTAAGGAATTGAGTAACTAATACGTATTAGTCTGAAAACAACATAATTACTCTTTTATCACATTTCTTAAAATCCCTGCTGACCTATTTAATACAAGTAGCACCAGGATCTCTTCCTTTTCTGTGATTTATTGTCTTGCAGTACATTTTCACATTATGTTATTTTCTTTGGAAAGCCCATCTTTAGCACAGTTTTAGATCTTTAGTGAAAGCTTCTTAAAAAGTATCAAACAAATTTATAGCTTTTTTTCTCACATCTTGTCTTTAAAGTCATGGAAATTATGTACGAGTTTGTGGTAATATAATACTGTTTAAAAATGCCATTTATTACACATAATGGGAAAACCGCCACCTGTGATAGAGTAATTTCCTTTTATAACTATTTTGCAGCATGAAACAGGAAGGCTAGGAACAGTAATAAACAGGGAAGGGAAAGCTCTTTTTGTCAAAAATAACTAAACGTTTACAATTCCATCATCCATTACACGCAAAACCAATATTTCATATTTTAAACTGTCAACAAAACTTCTAACTTGACTTCAACACAAAGTTTAAAATACACTAAACTGTCTGCCTACCAAAAATGGACCATTCATTCCTTAATTACTAGATCAGGTTTTGAATGTTAATACCTTCAACCACCAGACTGTAAACTAACCATGTCCATCCCAGAAGCAGAAAAGATTATTTCATGCCTTTCTGCATGTTTTTTTAATTCTTTGAACTGGCTCTCACTGAATTCTAAGTGAGCTCTGTGTTGTCCATATGTATTCCCCCAGGAATGGTGGCTTGTGTAAGGTCTGTCAAGAGCTGCTTTGTTAAATCGACTATTCAGGTCTGATTTCTGGAATTTCACACAGTTAGCTCCACACTTCTAAAGTACAAAAAAGGTTTCATTTTAATATATAATATTTTAATTGTTACAAAATGTATGCATGGAGTTTCAGTTACTTTAAACACTGTTACAATACACTGTTGAAAATAGACAGGTATCATCAAAATTTTTGTATTGCAATATAATATTATACCAAGGGCTGCATCCTGATAAGTATCACAAGATATTGTGGGCAAGAATCTAAGCTAACTTCTGTATTGTTTCTTTCCATATACAAAGAACTCTGGGTATCATACTTTGTCGTAGGCATGTATCAGGAATTAATGCAATGAAAATGTTGAAAAATATGGCAGTTCAATATATTAATCCACCAAAATAGTACTGCAATACATATTGTTTCCAAACAAAACAGGGATATATCAATAATATTAAATACCTTTTATGAAAAAATTTAATGATAATAAAAACAATGTTTCAGCAACTATGTCTTTGTAGATGGAAGAACAATTTTAAAACAACATAAAATTTGGCTTTACACAATACATGCCGTAAAAGTATATAAGAAAATTGGCATTTCTCAACACATTACTTCAGCTAATATTTTTATTCTATACACTTTTGTTTGCATTTACAAAGTAAATGTAGAGCATCAACATTTTACATGTAGTAATTTATAAACTTCCATGATATTTCGCTTACATTTTTAACAAAATTTTTTAATATCAAAAACATAGATATGTATTAAATGCCTCAACTCTAGTAGACAAATCATAAAAAATTGTGAAATTAATTAACTAATATCATTAGATTTTGTGTAATTTAAATTTTTCAAGTCTTAATATCAACACATCAGTAATAAATTTTATTTGTAATCCCTAAATTGTTTTAAAAGGTTCATGAATTAATCAATTTTGAAGCTTTTAAAGCTAATTTTATGTTTTATACATCACTTACAAAAAAACTAACATTTGTAAAATAATACAAGTTAAAAAAATCAATTTAAACTGACAAAAACTTCTTATGTATGTAATCTCAAAACTGCATCTACCTTTTCCAATTCTGCCATGTTTTAAATTTTTGTCAATCTTGTTTGATCACAATAAATGTTAAGTAATTTTTAACTAAATTTTCTCCATTAATATATTCTCATCTTCACTAGTGTTGATACACAACCTATTGTTGATGTTCAATGGGTCCATGTACTGTTTTTTATTATTAGGTATTACAAATTTCTAATTACTAATACAGATGTTCAATAACATCTAGTGATTATGTTAAATTCACACTTTGTTGTAGAAGTACAGATAATTTAAAATAAGCATATTTTATATTTTTGAGACATGAGTGCTTCATTTCAAAGCACCTAAGCTGCGTTGCCAAAAAAAGAATACAGGATCACAATAATCTGAAACCTTAGAATTAATTTCTAAAGATATTGTAGTTTCAGTAAATAAAATATTCTAATTTCATAAGTGATATTTGTACAAATTTACATTTTTAAAATTTTGAAGAGATTTAACTTGATACATTTTTGAGAAACAAAAATGCTCAATATTATTGTAAATTTTAATTACCGATTTTTTGCCATAACAAAATTCTTTTAATACTTTCATATAAAGTTTTTATTTTATGAAACTATAAATTATCTTTTTGTTTTGATTTGAAAAAAAAAGCATGAGTTTTGCCAGGTTTACAATAACTGGTTTGCAATAAGAATAACTTTTTACCATGCAAAACATTATAAGTAGGCCAACTTGCTTTTAAATTGTTAATCAGAAGGTTTCTTTTAACATATGTAAAAAGTTTTAGACTTATTCTATGTTCATTTATATATTTGTTTTTTTTTATTCTTTGTGATTTTCTTAGCCTATCCAAGTAGTTACTTAGGCCAAATAAAGGTTGAAACAAACAGAAAAAGAACTTTTATGATGTTCTTAGATTATCAGCCTGTGACTATAGATATTCACATCACACCATGAGGATAGAAAATTACAAAAATGACTGGCAAAAAATGAATAAAACTTCACTTTTATGAAAGTAGCAAGAACAAATTAGCACTAATTTGTTTTAAACTGTTATGACAATTCTCCTAGAGGGAAAAAATACAATATTATTCTCAGAAATAAAATTCAAAAAATCAGGAAATTCTCAAACACTAATGATTTCGCGAGGAACATGCTGAATGTGACCCAAAATCAAAATTGATTTTTAAACAATTTTAGGTATGAAATTTAAAAATAAAACTCACTGAATAAATTTCAACTCTAAAGTTTATTCTTCCATTTTTTTTTGTTTTTTTACATGAGGAGAAATTACTGCAAATTTATTTTCTATACTTATTTTATTTCAATGTTGCAATTTTAGTCTGATGTAAACTGCACTCATATAATCAACTAAGCATCAAACAGTTAGACAAAGTTTAATCCCTCTTAATAGGAATTTTCTATATGAGAAACACACCAAAATTATAAGACTTGATGTAAACAGTTTAATCTTATGCAAACCTAGTTTTCCTTCAGGAGAGTAAAAAAAATCAAAATGTAGAGGAGGTGCTTAACCAGTTAAAAATATAGAAATTTACTCAAGCATGTACTGCCAACACTTAAAAGAAACAAAGAAAACGAATATCCTAAAGGAATGCATATAAAACATACAACTTAACTATGTCATAATAACTAAAGCTTTTGTAGTTACAAAACAAAATAGTTTCATACAGGACTGGGCTATGTACCAACATATGTAACTATGTTAAATGAAAGATTCACATCTTTTAAGAGTAACAGCAACATGTAAAGACATATCCACATTACTAAAAAATGTGTTTTCAGTGGAACATTCTCCAGTTAATAATTTATACAATCACATAGGATACAAAATCACAAACAGAACTAATCAATTGATGATTAGTAAAACATTTACACATGTACCAAATATTTAAGGGAGAGTTATCTTGATTTAACTTGGTTGCTCAATTCTACAAGATTCTAGGAAGTCTAGCAATCGTTTTAACTTGAGATGATCCCAAATTTTTCAGGTGATACCAGTCAATTTAACATAACGTTTTGGGACATATTGGTCCATTTTGGCTGTTCCATCCTCTAAACTAAACTAAAACTATTAATAAATAATTTTTTTTAAACCTTAAAACCAGCACTTATCATTCATATGCTTATCAAGCTTTATCTTAAACTCACTTAAACATCCAAAAGTAACCCATTCCAAAGGCAAACTACCCTGTTAGAAAAATAAAACTGTCCTAGCTAAAGATGACTCCTACCCTGCCAAAATTTATATTTGTATCCCCTAGTCCTACTGTTCTCACTGTTAAATATGAAAAAAGATGATGTACCAACACTATCAATTCCCTTTACAATCTCCAACACCTCAATCATATCCCCCCTAACTCTTCTTTTTTCAAGAGAAAACAATTTGAGAAATTTCAACCTCTCCTCATATGACAACCCCTCCATCCCAGGCATCATTCTAGTAACCATTCTCTGAACCCTTTTCAACAACGCAATGTCTTTCCTATGGTAAGGAGCCCGAGACTGAGCACAGTATTCCAAATGTGGCCATTATCTTGCATTTATCATAATTAAAACCCATTTGCCATTTATTTGGCCAACTCACCAAATGATCTAAATCCTTTAGTAAATCAGCAGCATCCTCTCACAGCTAGCAATAAAATTTGATAATCAGTCAGTGATGAGTGTTCTGCTAATGAAGACCTCAAGTTACTTGGTTGTGAAGAACCAAAAATATTTGTTTCAATGTTTTATATTTTCTGTATAGATGGTAAAATGATTTAATGCTTAATACAAGTCCTGTTCAACTGAGTATATAACAAATGTTGATTGTATGATAAATTATTTCTTATGAATGTTTAAAGTAGATGTCCAATGACTAGGAAAAACAAAATTCTAGAAAAGCATTAGAACACAGACTAAACCTATTGTCACTTAACTCCTCCGACACAGAAACAGTTACTAAAAGGTAATTTTTCAGGTAAACAATTCTTAACAATCCAGTTCCATAAAAATTATATATATTCTAACTCTCTATGGTTACCTGTAATTATTACTCATTTTTGTGTTTTATATATTTTTGTAGTAATATCTGTTTCAAACTGTATTAGCTTCTTACTTATTTTCTGGAGTTATGGCTCTTTATTAAAATAAGATTCTCAGCATTCAATCTATTAATTACTTATGCTAACATATTATATGGACAATATGAAAACATTTGGTTGTTGAAGGTTGTCTTTACAAACCCACTCTTGAGAAAAAGTAAAAACTTAAACCCACCATTCATAATTCATGATTTTATTGATTCCCTTTTAAACTTTGTAAAGTGCTGGTCTCCATGACAACTGACAGAAACTCATTCTATAAAATACTCACCCAATTAGAAAAACAAAATTCTTAACTGGAGCCTAGTCTTTTTTTTCAAATCTTAATCTTGTGTCTTCTTGTCCATTTATCTTCAGAATATAGCACAAAAAATCAGAGGCCTTTTCCCATTAATCTCCCAGATAGCCTTGTATACATCAAAAAGATTACATTTTACCTTTTGATTTTCAAGAAATAAATTAAGAGATCTTAACCTATCCTCACACAATAATCTTTCTATACCCAGAATTATCCTAGTAGCCCTCCTTCTGAACCATTTCCAATAATACAATATCCTTTGTTACATAAAGAGACCAAAACTCCACACAGTATTCTAAATGAGACCTAACTAAAGATATTTATAAAGAGACAATTTATTAAATCTCGTAAATTCTACATAAAACAATGTTTTGAGTTCCAAGAATTCTTATCAAGGTACTAAGCCAATGCTTTGTCTCTTATTTACACTGATGTTGGTTTTCCACATCAATTGGTTCATTCATTTTCAGTCAAGATTCTAAATATTTCCACTGTTGAAATACCTTCAAGTGATCTGATGACTTTTAATACTAACTTAATTTAAAACTGGTGACAAATTTTCCAAACCTTTGTGCAATAAAACCCTGCACATAACTGAATATTGGACCCATC